AGCAGACTGATGAGGTCTTCTCTCTGTCACTCTGCTCTGTTCTCCCATCTGCTGCACATCTGACTGTCTGCTCCCTTCCTGAGTTTTGCTAAACAGGCGATTGCTAGAGGCTGATGCCAAGCCAAGTTTTGGTGCTTACACTATTTACATTTATATAATAAATTTAATGATGTATTAATGAGATGCATTAATTTGTGTCTATTTTGTCTGTCTGGAGCCAGATTAAAGAATGTGTTCCACTACTTGTAGAGCAAGAAGGTGGAAGTTATTGCAGGGCCTTACACACAGAAAGAAAACCCACCGTGTGTATATATTATATATATATATTAGTAAAGGTGCCTACAGACAATAAAGAATGCTTACTCAATATGACTGTTTATGGTTTCATCTGGGAATGTTTCTACATCTGTAGGCACTCCTGATACACAGTGACTGAGCCTTCTTGGGTGAGGAGTTGAACGCATTTGGATGGAAGTTTCCCAGCCAATCAACAGAGCACTCTTCACCCGCTCTGCAAAGACGATCCAACCACTGCATCCACTGCTTTGTGGTAACACAAAGGGCAGTGATTTTGTGATAATGACAACATTTTATAACAACTGGTCAGATTCCTCCTATCAGTTTAGAGTGGCCTGAGCAATGATACGTGCCTGCTGTTTAATAAGCTTTATGTTTTTAACTCTACACAGTGCTCTTTGGCTTGTAAAACTGGTTACAAAAACCCTATAGACTGCAGAACAAGTTGTTTGATGGAATTGTCATTGCTTGGCAGAGACCTACAAGCATTGTGCCATGTTTGGTGCACGTTTAGCTATGCGTTCCTGTTCTCCTTATACTTTTATGCCACTTCATTTAGCGTGATCAATTATGAATGCTGAAGTGATATAAACAAAGCTGTAATTTTTAATACAATGATGTAGGAGCATCATGTACGAGATAGCTTTCATGGGTTTCATCATAAATAAAAAGCGAAGGAAAGTATCATTCCTATGGTTGACTTAGCAACCAGATTCCAGTTATCATTTTATCAGTTGCAGTCAGACTAGTTGCTATATGCAACACTGGCAAACACTTTCCTCCGGTATTTGTACAAAAGGCCCCTTATATTTCACACTGAACTTCCACTTGTATGCAGAAAAATGACCATCTACAAAATATTTTTTACCTTTTCAGATGCATGCTGATGAGTAAGCAGCAGTGGAAAATCACTTTTTGTTTACACTTACCCCAAATCAGTTTTATACAATATGGTAACCTTAACAGGGATCATGAAAGACTCATTTCAAAGATGTTATTTTAAAATTGTGAACTCCTAAAATTCCAAGCTCGTTTCTTGGCAACAGATTCCCTTTACATTTTATAATAACATGCAAATGAATGTACTGGCAAAAATTAATTATTGCTTTTCAAGTCATTTTTATGACGGATCCAACGAAACCGACTTGTGATCGTAAGTGCTCAAAGCAGTGTTTCCTGCTGCTTTCAGATGAAATAAACAAGAATAATGCCAATAAACATTTTTTTTGTGAACTTTAAATCTCCTTTACATGACAATGTATGAAAAGGACAGGGAAGGGTCAAGCTGGATATTTTCTCAGCTGAACCAAACTCATGCATATTAGTGATTTATTATAATTCTTTTGTTATTTAGTGACAAAAAAGGAATCTAATGCTTGACACACCTACCGCCGCTGTGTTCACTTTCCACCCGGCAAAAAATATATAAGACAAGGCCACAGCTTAAATTAAAATCCTTAGGTTCTTATCTTCTTCCCACAGGAAAGCAAATCTGTGTTGAAAACCGTAAAATTAAGAGGAAAGCTAGGATGGCATAATTTAGAGAGAATTCATGGTGCTAGATTTTTTTGAGCTCTTTGACTGGAGGGATAGGCCAACCGTTAATAAGATACAGGAACACAACCTCTTATAGACTGTCAGAAAAAGGAAATAAAACCAAAATCCAGGATATTATTTTATATTTATTGTTGTCGCAAATAATTGTGTCACTTGAATATTGTTCTACATACAGTCAGATATTATGTTTGAACATTAATATGTATGTGTGTTTGTGTGTCTATGTGTACAGTAGTACATATTTTAAAGGGATCATTTTAGGAATTGATTGAATATTTTAACATTGTTTGCTGGCTTGTCTTTTTTGACAGTTAAGCCACACAAATGGGAGGGGCTTGTTCTATGGTAGTGTGAGTAAAGTTGACGGATAAGTACCTTTGCAGTTGTGTTTTTTAATCCTTTAAAAATAAAACCCTAATTCTATTAAAAAAAACCTATGTAACGGTTTGTTTGACTGTAATAACTGTATCTCTCCATGTTTATATGTTAATGCTAAATCTTATAATTTTTAGTATAGATCGGTAAAGAGTAAAATAAAGTATATATGTAAGGATATAGATCATGTGGTATAATGTACATATATTGTGGCTAGATGGAGGTTAATAAAATAAAATTGCAAAATACAATTTAAAATAACACATTTTTGTGTTCTTGCAGTGCCATGTGAATAATGATGATTTAAAAATGATAAAATATAATATAAACATAAAAAAGGCTGGTGTGGGAGGGAACGAAGGTTTGCCATATAGATCATTTATTAGTTTTAAATAATTATGCTTTTCTATGTTGCTGAATATTACTATGAACTGCAAGGCTAGTAACCATTTAAAACAGAGACCCAAACTATTCTGTAGATTTATTGTGTGATGGTCACTAAATAAAATACAGCTGTAAATGAATTTACGCTGCTAACTGATCTACCTAAATGTAGTCTTTCAACATGTATAAAGTTGTGTTTTGTAAGTAAAAGGTTTGCAAACAAAGGATCGCATTGACTAGGTCCCATGTTTTGGGTGACCTTCGGGTTAAGAACTTCTTCCATCATCGCTACATAAGAATGCCACTAGCTAAGTTATACATGGTGACACAAAAGCTCTAAGTGGCTTATTTGGCTGTATTCTTGCTAACCCCTAAACTGCCAAAGGGTCCAGCAAATGCTGATACCTGACACTAGAAAATTAAACGCCCTCATTGTGTTTTTTTTTGATGAATTGGGTGTTTGTGTCTATAACTATTGTGTGTGCAGTGCCAGCTGTGGAGATTAGCAGAGGAAGATGAATTTTATTGGGGCATTGAAAGAAGTTAGAGAGCAAAGCCACAGAAAGTGACCTCACTGTAAAAAAAAATGTGAACAAACCTAAGAAACAGCAAGAAAATAAGTGGTTAAAAACTTGCACCTATCAACTAACTTGTAATTACACTTTTTTAGATTTAATTTTATTTATTTGATTTTTTTTTTATCTCACTGTGAAAGGACAGTACATGTAATTGTCCCAAAGCTGAACTATATAGGCTGATTCACTAAAGAAGTTGAGAGTCTTTGCACAATACATTATGTAAAAAAGCTAATTCCTGTTTATTTATTCTGCACATTATTGGGTATTGTAAGCAAATACAGTTACAAGTTATTGAGTAAAGATTCTCAACTCTTTTTAGTAAATCAGCCACACTGTCTAGTGAGGACACTGAGAATCCATCCTAGTTTGGACACATAATCTACTGTCTAATTAGGACACTGAATCCTGTTTAGGACACCAAATCCACTGTCTAGTTAGGATGCTCTGAATCCACTGTCTAGTTAAGATTCTGAATCTTGTTTAGGATACTGTATCCGTCCTTACTAGGACACTGAATCCACTCTCTAGTTAGGACACAGAATCCTATTTAGGACACTGTATCCACCCTAACTAGGACACTGAATCCACTGTCTAAATAGGACACTGAATCCATCCTAGTTTGGACACTGAATCCACTTTCTAGTTAGGACACTGAATCCTGTTTAGGACACTGAATCCACTGTCTAGTTAGGACACTGAATCCTGTTTAGGACACTGAATCCACTGTCTAGTTAGGATGCTCTGAATCCACTGTCTAGTTAAGACACGGAATCCAGTTTAGGACACTGTATCCACTGTCTAAATAGGACAATGAACCCATCCTAGTTTGGACACTGAATCCACTATATCCAATATATGTGACAAATACAATCAATTTCACTCAACCAATGGGAACAGAATAGTCGGTATTTTAAAGCTTTGGAAACACTATATGGAAGGACCGCAGAATGGATTAGTAATCAATTTTTATTAAGTATTAACTGAATGAAAAGTAGTCATTAATTGTGGCCTGTTAGAATTAAAGATCGTGATATAGGTTGTCAAAGGTTAAATTCCATTCATGGGTCTACTACATGGAACCACTAAGCTGCCTCTCTTCTCTGCATTTGGTAGAATTATGAGTCTATTAATTGTTAGTCACCTGCAAAAGTCTATTTGATAAACCACTTCATATCACATCATACTAATTACCTTACATACATGTAGTATGTTTCTAAAGGGTGTCCTGTGCTGTATTTTATAAAGCAAGCTGGTTTTAGATGTTTGGCCATTTTACTTACGTGCTTTACTCACTTTTCTTTTAAAGTGTATGTAAATCCTAACAATGAACCTTAAACGAACCTTTGAATCCTAACAAATCCTAACAATGAACCTTTTTTTATTTTGTAATTTTTGGTCTATCAAATATTTCATTGAAAGTGTTTTGTTTTATCAAGGAGAGGGGAAGGTGTTCTGCATTCCTTTCATAGGGTGACAATGCAACGCCTCCATGGATACATTGCAGTCGGTGTGTGTGTTGTCACCCTAAGACAGGAAGTGTTTTGCTGACAGTATCTCCATGTGAAAATAAAGGAAAAAAACCTTAAAAAAAGAAAACTATTGCAGCTGCCACAATTAAGGACTAGTATTATATTATATTTGTGTTCTTGGGTATAGATATGGTTTAAAGTCCAGAAAATGGCTGGACCAACAGTGTGTTTTTTAAATTTCGACACTAAGCCTGACAAATGCAATGTGTTATAATTATTATTTAGTGTTTTTAATGTAAAAAAGGCTTACCTGCTTGTTATTTTGCTCTTATTGTTTCAGTCAAACAAGGTGCCAGTTGTGCAGCCATCACATGCAGTGCATCCCCTCACACCTCTCATCACATACAGTGACGAGCACTTTGCCCCAGGAGCTCACCCTTCACATATTCCGTCAGATGTCTGCTCAAAGCAAGGTATGAGTTACAGCTGTAATATAAGAAAATGCTGTCATGTATTATAGTAAAAGAAACAGTTATATTGTTTTTCTGCTGGATCCTCTCAGAAAATAGAAAATATCCCTTACATGTATAAGTCATAAGTGCACCATGGGTACTCCATAAAGGAGATTATCTAAGGTAAATTCAGTTCATGGTAAAAGGTTCCTCAGTATATTCATTATGGGCAGTCACCGTGCCATCACAATTGCAGCAACAGAAGCACCCAGATTAAAACTGTTTTTGGTTTTTTTTAATTCAACAGTAATTATTTTAGCTAAGAAAGTTTTGTATACATGTCCATTACCAAACATTATAGACAGAGTACAATACTCTCAATTAAATCTAGCAATAAAAGTGAGAAGCAAAACTTCAATACTGTTACCAAAAGAATGCCTTGGGGTGAGGACTTCTATGACAGCGAAGAGTAATTATGTGTTTTCCATTTATTTAAAGTGACACGAACACACTAATAATCACTTCAGATTGATGGTGTACATGACCTTCAGCTTTCATATGCTATAGATTTCTAGTGCTGTTGTTTCGCCTTACAGGTTACTTTCATCCTCCCGTTCTATAGGTGGTCATTCTTGTTCTAATCTAGTCCATTTAAGTCTTTGCTGTAGATTTACAGCTTTTATAGCTACCAGAACTGGGCCCATAAATAACTCAACACTCCTAACTTTTCCTTCAGATCATCTTATTTGGATAAAAGGATCACTTTGCACTACTCTATTAAAACACATGGTGGTAAATTATCATGTAATGGGTTTGATTAAAACAAGCGTGCTAGCTTTTGTCTTGTGTAAATCATTGAGGCTTGGAGCTAAGTAGGTCACTTACATTCATACAAGCATACCTATGTGTACAACAAAATCCCTTATTTGTATTCTTAGCAAATATTAAGGTATACTCTGATTTACAGACTGGGAAGTGTATTATTGTATGAGCATGATAGGAAAAGGCTGGTAGGTTAATTGGCTCCTGTCTAAAACTGGCCCTAGTATGATATTCTGCTGAGCACACCCAAAATGGCTACCTCACTGATCTAACAGTAGATAAAGCACTTTAAGTTAATACATTATTATTATTATTACTACTACTACTAATAATAATAATAATAAATAATAAAAGTGAAAAGATCCCTCTAAACTATTTTACTACCTTAGATGGAGCACCTAGAAAGAACTGTGCATTGACACCCTGGTCGCACTTCTAAAAATTCATCAGATAAGGAGTCACTTATTAAATAAGGATATTAGTATGTAAATAAATATTGGTAGGAAAAAATAGAAAGTGGAGTAACAATCAATACATTTAGGAACACCTCCATAAAATCATATTCCACATCTTATGGAGACTTTGGGTCTGAATGTTCTCTAAATTTAGGTGAAGGTGAAGCTATGTTTACTTCAATCAACCAATAATGCAATAGTAAATATGCTGTTTTTAAAAAAAATTTTAGTCATAAAGGATAAACACAAAAGACATGCCAGTTATAGAAATGAAGCGATCCAGGCACAGCCGGTACAGTAGCCAAAAGGGCTAACTAAGAATCAAGATAAATGCTAAAAACATAAGACCCTGACTAAGGCTACATCATAACTCCCCAATCAATATACAATAAACTACAACAACGAAGTGGAGTAGAAGGGGAGCTTGCTAAGGCACGTCTCAGGGTTCAGCCCATTTTTTCCCCTCAAAAGAAACAAAGACAAAAAAGGGGGAGGGGCACACATAAAAAAGAGGGGAGGAGGTAGAGGAGAAGGAGGACAATGAAAAAGAGGGAAGAGAAGACAGTGAAGGAGGACAGAAAGGAGAGAAAAGGAAGGAAGGAAGGAAGGAAGGAAGGAAGGAAGAAGGAAAAGAGTGGGGATAGGGGGAAGCAACCCAAGGAACCATATCCAGTGCCAGACCATCACATTAGGAAACAACGGAAAACAAATGAACAACGAAAGTCAGGGTTCTTGCTTGAGAAGATATCCTGGCTTTTTATTGTCCTTGCACATGATTGTGTATTTACTAACATTCACTTTGCCAAGTGGATAGCCTCTATTGCGTTAGTAAATCAGCCTCTCTGCCCCTGGGAAAAGAGGTCAGACTTCTACATCCCTGAAGTGCAGGTGCCAAGAGTTTGCCTTGGTTGGCTGAACAGAGCAAGGAACCAGAATCCTCTAGGCTGCTACCTCTCAGACAAAGCAACTGTTTTCCCTCCCATGAATGCTTTCTGTCCTACAAAATCAATTCTTACATTTTCCATAAAATGAATGGCAAAACAAATAAAAGAAAAAGAAACATACACTATATGTGCAAATTTAACACTAGACTGGAAATGAAGTGTGCAGGCCTAAGGTTTATTAGGCATATGGAGGACATCATAAATTGGAGGACTATCTTGCATTGCATATGACATTTGTATGATCAAGCAGGTAAGGGCCACCAAAGTCAACACAGTTTCCTTTATAATAAAATATGTAGTGAGGGGTATTTATCAAAACTGGAGCAGACATAATCTGGAGCAGCTTTGCATGGCAACCAATCAGCTTCTCTCTTTCACTTTCAAATCTTAATTGAACAAACTGAAGAGTGAAGCTGATTGGTTGCCATGGCCATCTGCTCCAGAGTCTGCTCCAGTTTTGAAAAATTCCCCCAAGTATGTATAGCCACTACCAAACCAGACAGACATTGACTGGGGAAATGAACAAGGTTTTGGTGGCAACTTATTAACTGTAGAACTTATTGGTTTCATAGTCTCTGTATACTGAAATATGATGCATAGCTCTTTGTGGGTTTTTTCTTTGTATCCTTTTTGTTCTGCAAAAAAAGTGCTACCAAGGCAAAACAGCTTGACCTTGCCGCCCAAAGCCGTTAGCTTGATGAGGAGCTTAGTAGAAAATGGAGTGACAGTTGGGAGCCAAGTGAATCATATCAAGAGTGAGCATTAGAAGCCTAAAAATGATTCATAATTAGTCAGTGATCCTCTGTGGTTCAAAATGGAGAGAAAAATTGTAACGCAACCTTTAGGGAATGTGTGTTAATGGATAGGCCCTAATATAATGTACCTAATCTACATTTGGAATATTAAGCCAAGTTTTTCGCAGCTGTCTGCTTTAAACGTTATTGTTGTTTTTTTTAACTTTCTTTAGAACAACAATGGTGACACCAAGCTAAAACATTACAGTGTAATAGAGCTGCTGGTTTTCTGGGAAACGCTGATCTCTTGTTTGGTGATGGGCCAGGGGTGCTAGTTGCGTTTTGAAGGGTTAAATCAAAATCACAAATTGCCTAAGCACCTTATAAATGTAAATTTCATGGTTATTGCATTATGCATGCTGTTCATGTATATTTTTTCTCATCCATCAAAAATAGAACAGAACTGGAGGACAGTGACTAATCCATTGAGTGCTGAGAAGGAATTAATGTCCTCCGGGGGTAGAATAGCAACACTTACCACTTTTTTTACACTGGATCCTAACATTATTTAGTGTACATTATTCTACAGTAAGGAAGTATACACTGTCCTTGCATCTGTCTGTATACACACAAGTGCACTTTGGGCCGATGTTTGATGATATATTTTGTTAACAGGCATGCACAGGCATCCTCAAGCACCTGACCTTCCTACCTTCTACCCGCTGTCTCCTGGAGGAGTGGGCCAGATGACACCACCTCTTGGCTGGTGAGTTTATTATAAGTGACTGAGATAGCTGCAGATCTACATCAGAAAATTCATGACAAATGTGTATGTGCAAACATAGTTTGGGGACATATTCCATCCATTGTTTAGATGTGCATTCATTAACAGTCCTTATGTAGCCCACATGTAGCACTACACCTCATTCCAGGTAATGCAGTATGTACAAAGGTACACTCTTGTTCTTTGAGAGGCACTGACTGCAGAACTGATGCGCATTTGAGTACACTGTAGCCTGTATTTACCATAGAGGTTGTGTATGTATGATCACAGGTCAGCACCCGATGACCCAGCTGGTGGACTTTCCCCCTCTATGAAGATCTTACTAGTCTCTTTTAGTCATCAAATACACCATGTGGGTGCTTAAGTGTTGCTAGGCCCTTTAACAGGCAGAGGACGACAGCCCTCGAATCCCAGTGGCTACCTGTACTTTCCTTATGGTAAAAAGTTAGAAAAGGGGCACAATTTAGCATTTTTACACCATCAACTCTAATGTGGTATTTCATTATCTGGAAGAAGTTTGTATAAATAAAAGTGTAGATTAGAAGCCAATAGTATTAATAAATTAGTTACAAACTTCTGAGGAGGGTTTTTTTTTCCTTTAAAGTGTATGTTAAGTCAATTTTTTGGGGTTTTAGAAAGGGAAGGGTTAAATCATCTATCAGGTTATTTTTTTTTGCTTCCTGTTTACCGTTGGGGAGATTTCCCTTCACTTCCTGTCCCAGAAATACAACAGCAAATCAGAGGAAATCTTTTCCAGTACATGGGATTTTCATTTTAGAGAGTTGACATAGGATCAGGTTTATACATTGGAGGATTTCCTTTCACCTATTGCGTTTGCTACTTATTTTGGATTTCTCCTTATTTTCTGATAATGGGCACATGGACATATGGGTGAATTTTCCCAGCATGTTTACAAACAGCAATAAAAACGTAACAAAGGGTCTAACCCTTCCTGGTCTAAAATTAAAAAATGCCTTCATACATTTTAAGAGGAATACCAAGAAATGTTATTAAACATTGTTTAGTCCTTTTTGTTATTCATTAAAATGGTGCTAAATGCTGAGCATTTTTTTAACTTAATTAGCAAGCAGTGAACATGCCCCAATACAAGTATTACTCCAGTGTGGCCAAACACTTCCAAAACTTCTCTGTGCTCCCTCACTCATTTCAGGCAACAGAGCACTACTTACACGAGATTCCAGGTAGGGGAGGACACAGTGAGGGCAGAGGAGCATGCACACTGCCGAAAAGAGGAGGTAGAAGGAGGAGTGGTTCATGGCAATAGGCAATGTGAGATAGTGTACGCAGGTCAGGAGCCAGGAGTGTGCATGCAAGGTGACTCCATGGGACACTGTAAGAAGAAGGAGACAATGAAGCAGTGGACAGTGGCACCAGTGCTAATCGGGTGGAAGAAAGAAGATGTATACCTCAAGAGACATCATATAAGGTAAGTCTTTACAGCAGCATTGGGCAAACATGGTGTCACTTTAAACATTGTCAAATATATTTTGAAACACCGCTACATTGTCAAATATATTTTGAAACACCGCTACTATAACCACCTGCAGTCAATGTTTATATTACCACCTCAAAATCCCTGTACAGTATTAATCAGAGTGGGGGATTATCCACTGTCAGCGAAAAGGCTCTTTTGCATTGTACTATGCTGTCAGTCTAATGTGGTTTAAGACTCTGGACCTCAGCATCCTCATGACTGCTTCATAGTCCAATGGGCAAGCAAGTGTAACAGTAAGCTGAAGTAGATAACAGTGGTGTCACCCTTCTGGCTATGCAGTAAGGCAGGGGAATTCAAATCACAGAAGTGGCTGGAGAGAATTGCAAAAATTTTGGCGGGTTAAACAACAATACTGTGGCGTTAATTTACAAGAGACAAATTGACTGTTCACTTTGAAAGGGAATACCCAATCATTTGCAAGGAAAATTTTAAAAAACTGTATTTTTGCTTGCACATAATTGGGTGATGGAAGTCAGCAAAAACTTCACCTCATTCACTAAACTAATGGGAAACGGCCCCTGCAAAGTAACAATTTGTCTTTGTAATTCAAACCCTGTGTATTAACTAGGGAAACAAAAATAGTCGCACTCCATGGATCTTCCCTGGAATCTCAAGTCTTTATTGTAGACTGTAATAACACACTCCATGGCATGCCTCCTGCGTGCCTGGCCTCACACGTTTCACCTTCCTGGACTAATCATATGATCTATGATTAAACCGAGAAGGTGAAATGCGTGAGAGGCTGGGCACGCATGGAGGGATGTCATGCAGTGTGTTATTACATTCTACAATAAAGACTTGAGATTTGAATGAAGATCCATGGATTGCAACCGTTTTTGTTTCCCTCTATGGTTCCGGCAGCGGTGAGCCTGTTTGGTATGTACCCAGGACTGGACTGAGTTGTTCTCCAGCCATGGAATTCAGAGCGGTGTTTCTCTATGAAGCCTGTGTATTAACTGTTTGGTTGGAGCTCCACATAAAGGTAACTGCCTTTTTATAGACGGTGTTCACAAATGATTTAGTTTTAGGAAATTCCCATTATGAAAGAAAAGCACTACACTAGCATATGAGTCATAGATACGACATGTTATAAAACAGCAGATAAATCCATACTTGATGTTTATACATATTTAACATATCCACTCTAACCATTTCCTGTTCTGTTAATTTGATGTGGCATGAGCTTACATATGACTGGGGTAAAACAAACAGCTTTACTGGGGAAATATAATTCAGATACTGTTTGTCATTTATTGGACAGAAACACTTATTTAACAAATTATTATAAAATACATTGATTTATTTCTGTTTTATTATCAGTGTAAATAAAGTTTTGCAACATGTAAAGGGGGTAGAACAAATTCTGGAAACTTTTCAGTGTTCCTAATTTATGTATAGATGACTTTACCAAGCATTCCCACATTTGTCAAGAGAATCATGTGATTTAAACAGTTAACAATTTAGGTTTGGGATGTCTCCCAAAACCACTATTCTTTTTTTCTGCTCAAGAAGAACATCAGTCTAAATGAAAACTTGTGTATCATTTCTAATTGCAAAATTCTTTAGATCTTTAAATATATCTAGTTAACAATGGGGTCTATTCACTTAGCTGCCGTAGGAAGCCGAGTGAAAGACCGACCTGAAGTGAAGTGAGCCGAACGAACTGAAATCAGCCGTACATCGGGTGCTCTGCATGTTCAGCCGACCCGAAGTGCAGGAGGAGTTCAACTCAGCCGATCTAATATCTAGATCGGCTAAGCCGAACCTCCGGCAGGTTACTCGCTGCTGTTTGGTCTATTCTTATAGATGCCAAACAGCAGTGAGTGAATAGCCGAATGCAGCTGAGCGGCATTCGGCTCGGCTATTCTGCTCGGTCCCTCAGAGGGACCGAGCAGAATAGAAAAATAGTTTAAAAAGTACAAAAAAATTAATAGAAAACGATTGTGCGAAGCTAGCAATGACAGCTAGCTCCGCCCCACAGTTTTCTATTGTTCGGCGGTTCTGCTGCCGTCAAAAAAAATAATTTTTTTTACGTTGTATTTTCCATTTTGACATATGCAAATGATAACACACTGCCATACTACATATTCCATATGTGTATTATATACATCTAATATAAATACAACAAGACATTCAGTCATAGTAAATGCCTAAAGTCTGCTAACATGTTCTTCTCTAACAATATATACACAATTCACAGTTAAAGTGAAATTGTGCCCAGACTATGTACACCTAAGTATCTACATATTCTAAAAACGCATATAATCACTTTAAAACAAGCCCTCATTTACCTATGTAGCTATAGATATCATGGAGAAATTAATCTTTAAAATTCACAACAAAGGCACTGAAATCCCAGCTCCTCTGCTCTTTATTTTCTATGGCAGTTTGTAAGCCTAAACAAATACCAGATGCTTGTAAGATGCAGAAATCTGACTTTAGAGTCTTTGTTGTGATCTCTGAGGATATTTGTGGATGAATTACTTCACAGTACAAGCAGCTAGAGAGGTCATTAAGGGTTTGCTTTAAAGCTATTTTATTTATTTTTAAGAAAATGTACATATTTTAATGTGCATACTCTGGGCACATGCAGGGGCATATCTACCGCGAGGCAAACTAGGCGTTTGCCTCAGGCAGCAGTTGCAAGGCGGGGCGGCAAAAATGCCGCCCCCAAACTAAAGTGGCAGACTGGCCTTCGGGCAAATAAGGCTGCCGTGAGACTTGCCAGGGGGGAGGGGGGGGGCTTAGCTGAGCTCCACCAGGAATGTTAGTGCTATTTGCTGTTTCCGGGGGAGCTGACAGGAAGTGGGTACCTGGGGACTTCCTGCAGCCGCTGTCACTGTCAGTATATGTATAAGGCGGCGGAGGACAGCCTTGGTGCTCGACCAGACGGAGTGGGAGGTTCACATATTGCTTGCCTAAGGAACCCTGCAAGTCACTCCACTCTCCTCTTCTCATCATCGCCAACGCCGTCCGCAGTGGGCACTGCAAGGTGGTGTGATTGCTGCTGGAGCACTATCAGACTCAGGTGGACACGCAGCAGACCGGAACCATGCAGTGGGTAAGAGGGAGGAGGGGAGTCGGGGACCCGGATATGGGGAATACACAGAAGCCTGCAGATAGGTGGTAGATCTGACCTGAGCAGCATTTGGGCAGGGAAAGGGACCCTGCGAAACTCACTGCAGAGTCCACACAGCCCACTATTGAACCCCCACAGTAGTGGTGAGACACCGCACAGCCCTGATGAGCATCACAGTGTATGTAGCTTCATGTTAGTCTGCATTGCTGTTTAATGTATTGCTGAGACTTATAGTCCCTATACAGCCTGGAGTCAGTGGTAGAACTACCAAGGTCACACCAGTTGCCCAGACGGGGCCCTGGCGCTCCATCACTGTCCTAAAATCATTAGTCTGTATTGTTTTAGAAAAAATGTCACATGACACTAAAAGTATCAGTAATTAGTATCGACGAGTACTTGAACGATCTTTATACGCTTTTAATGTACAGAGAGGAAGGGGTGGGTCTTAAACAGGAAGGGGTGGGAAAAATGTAGATTGGGGGTGCCCAAATTTAGTCTTGCCTAGAGCAGCACAAAACCAAAATACACCACTGGGCACATGTGCACTTCAAATTTTCCGTTGCTTGGATTTGTGTGTGAAACCCTACTAAGTGGAGGTTCAGGAGAACAAGGCCTGCCACCAACATTTGCAGTTCACTAAACTAGCCAGATTTTGCTATACTTTTTTACAAACATGACAGAAAAACAATGGGAATGTAACTATGATGATACTAAAACAAATTTAATCACAAGTAGAATTATATTACATTAAGATCTGTGGCAAAGCCATTATAACCAGCCCAAAAGCTCAGGTTCATAGCATTGTAAACCTGGACTTCAATCTCTCCTTGCTGTCCCTTGGTTTGATCAATCTGTCTATGAATGCTGTTCATGCTTACATCTTACACATGGATTCACAGAATTGTCTGACACAGATAATAATGTGCTCCCCCACATGACAGTGTGCTGAAATGGCATGCTGTTTATCCCTGTAGTACAATAGCTGGCAATCAAGACTGGTGTCTAATCTTCTACATTGGAATAATCCCAATCTTCCATTTCATGCCCAGGGCCTATTCTCTCCAATAAAAACAATTCACTAAGTGCTCGGATTGTCAGGAGAGTGGCATTATAGGCGCCTGCAGCTTCTAAAGTCATTTTACATGAAATCTGTCAATCAATAACCCTGTTTGAACTGAATTGATTGAGTCAAGTCGGGTAGGAATGAATCAATTATTCTGTCTGAACTATTCTCTTTAAATATGCTAATCCAGTTCAAAGTGTAAAGCAGCTCCAATCAAAAAGAGAGCACAGTGTAATGTAAGCAGTTCAAAGCCGACATAAAACAATAATACCGGTTGTGTCTGTGTATGGTCTATCATTCGAGACATTACAAAAACACGGTTGCTTTCAGGAGATGATTTATTATTCAGATGACACATTTATTTTCATCCTATATATTTTAGTAATTTCTTTTGTACAGACCAATATAAAAAGGAATGTATTGCCAATAAATGTAGGATCATCAAAATATAGTCATCATCAGTAGGATTCTTACTCCCATTGTATAAGTTGTGATTGACAGGTTGCTGCGGGTTATAGCATCTTCAGATAATATTGCTAAATGATACAATTTCACTTAGATTAGCTGTCTTGAACAAGCACAGGGAACAATTCATAGGTAATCTCTTTATAAATCAAAGCATCATTTTTACTATACTGTATGTGAAAGAACGGGGGGTGATAGCACAGCAAGAAAATCAAATTAAAGTATAAGATACACAAACACAAATAATCATCATAATGGCTTATATAATAACCTTCAGTGTAAAACAGGCTCATTATCAAGCTGTGTGGGATTGACAGAACTATTCATAGACATATTGAAGTTCTTACGAATACTTTGAATGATTTATTTTATTAATATATACTTACATTGGGGTCTATATCTGTCTATAGATCTACTCTAAAAATGACCTATTGACTCTACTCTTGTTATTTTTCTCAGGTATTCACATCACATGGTCCCAGGTCCTCCAGGTCATCACACAACTGGAATCCCTCATCCCGCTATTGTCAATCCTCAGGTTAAACAAGAACACCACCACGGTGACAATGACCTAATGCATGTGTAAGCCTAGTTGACGTCTTAATGATTTATTACTTATTGTTGTTAAAGGAAATGTATTATTTTTCAATGATTCTCTTTCGATATATGTGTATAGGTAATCAGCTTGATGTAAACATCAAAGTGTGTTAAAGTTTTGCCAAACCTTGCATTGCTTGTTCTGTAGAGTTTGTAATTGTATATATAAATGTGGGCTGAATCATGTAAAAAAAAATGCACTTCCCATGGGGCAAATATCTTATCATTTGTAAAAAGGGTGGTAGAGTGATTGCAAAATTACTTTTTGCTCACTCTAGGGGCCCATATACAAATCATTATATACTGAAATAACAAAAATATGGGAGCAAAAGTTAAAGTCATAAAGAAAATAGTAAACACTGTAATACCATATAAAAATATGGGCTTAATGAAAAAAACAGTATAATTTCTCTTTGAATAAAGCTGTGCAGAGTGTAGTTATGATATTTAAAATGCAGCTACCCATAATTACAAAGAGACTTCAGATATCGAAGGTCAGATTGGCTGCTGATTGGCTGCCATGTGTTAATTCACTCTCCACACCAATCTTTGCCTTATTGTCTATGCTCAGTCATATATAGATTGGTACCAGGTCTTAATCAGAGTCTTTCCACTCTTCTTGTGAATGTACCTCTTTTTGTTCATGGCATGTTATTGGTTAGCTTGAAACACAAGATAATTCTGTTCTTGTAACTGTCATGTTTTACAATGGTTATATAAGTGAAATGGGAGTGACCTTTGATTAAAGGCACAGTCTCTCAAAAGTGTTATTTCAGCTATAGGTGAAATCTGGCAGGCCAGGTTAACTCCTGGCTTTTTATATATCTTCGGTACTCCAGGAGCGAGATCCCCCTGCCACCATTCTTAACTTTTATATACCATATATACTCGAGTATAAGCCGAGTTTTTCAGCCCATTTTTTTTGCTGAAAAGTGCCCCCCCTCGGCTTATACTCGAGTCAGCGTGGTCCAGTGGTCAGGTTTCTTCTTACTTACCTCGCCAAGCGTCGCGTCACTGCTGCTCCGGTGGGCGGCGCTCCGAGCTAAATCTAACAGGGGTAGTAGGACCTCAAAATTGCTAGAGCGATCATGCAGGCCCATGAATTTAAGGACAGGTATATGTCCAGTGGAGTTCCCAAAAGCTTTTAGAAAATCATAGCTGGTTTAACTCTCTAACATCTACCAAAACTAAAATATCAATGTGAATTGGACTGATTATTTATTCATCTGACCCATTATTAATGTTGGAGCAGACAAATTTATTGTTTATAAGCAAACCTGGAGTTAGATTGAGCCTGGTACACTGATGACGTTGAAAATCATTTCTCAATAAACTGTGTTCATTTTGAGGGCCAAAATCATGTGCAGATGAAAAAAATAGAGAGGGATTTGGTTTTACATGTTTGGATAATTGTGAAAAGTGAACCTTCACTCAGTTAATTAACTGAAGAGTCTCCACTCCTCCTTTAGTAAATCGGTCTCAATTTTTTCTAATTATTTAAAAAACACATATTGTGGTAGACACCTTGGTTGATCTACTAAGGGAGCAGAGAATGGACATTTGTGCAATGTGAACATAAACTTTGCAAAGTAAACATTCACTTTGATAGGTGAACAACCTCTACTCCTGTAGTCAGTCAACCCCGGTGTTTATTGGAGTCTTAAAAACCCTTCCCCAGCTTCTTGTATCTCCTGTGTCCTCAAGTGTCAAGGTTTATCCACAAGAGTATCCAACTCTTCCAACATTGGCATATTGTCTTGTTCCTCCTGATAGCTTCCATATAGTCAGTACAGTAGTTAAGTGGTCAGCACTTGTCTTCAAGTTCTGGGTACAGGGTTGCTATTTTGTTTGTGTGGGTTTCCAGCCAAAGACATATTGATAGGTTTCTGAATACACTACATCCCAAATTGCCACTAAAGTGTGGTAGTGATAGTTAACGATTCTTTTGGGGGAGAGAGGGACTGATATAAATTGATCTATGTATGCTGTAATGTGCTATATTTTGACACCTACATAAAAGCGACAATAGATAAACCCGGGAAGTAAAGTGTGCATACCATACCTGCAAAATTATTTTGCATTTATTATTACATTATTTTATAATATATCTTTATAAACTACCACAGTGTTTTTAATACATTGTTTTTCATGTTGATCAAACTAGTTTATCCCTTTCCATCCTTTAGGAAATCTCATCATGAACAGAGAAAAGAGCAGGAGCCAAAAAGACCTCATATAAAGAAGCCGCTGAATGCTTTCATGTTGTATATGAAAGAGATGAGAGCGAATGTCGTAGCAGAGTGTACGCTTAAAGAAAGTGCCGCCATCAATCAGATTCTCGGCAGAAGGGTGAGCTGTGGGGCTTTCTGTTTATCTTTACTAACCCGATGTCTGCTTTACAAAACAGTGCCGACTGTCCTTCTGACGCTGCCTTATTCACTGATGACTTTGCTGTTGCTTGGCAACCTGTAAATACAAAGTAAATGAGGAAGTGAACATTCAGCTTTTCATTTCTGTTACTCGTCCCTGGCGGTTCATTTATATTGTACCAAGAACAAATTTGCTCTACAAAAGTCCTTTGTCCACTTTCAAGCAGGCTATTATGAGAATTTAATTTGTGGTAAAGTTAGGGTATTTCAATGATATAGTGGGGGGGGGGGGGGGGTTCAATTTCTGTGTTATTTAATGCACTGCAGCATGTTGCGTTGGAATGTGTTATGCTGTGCACAAATGCCCATTTTTTCACCAATGCAGCTAGTGGTGTGAACTGATGTGATAGGGCCTGTGTTGAGCTACGTAGCCCAATACAGCCCAATGCAGCCCAATGCTGCTGGTATGAATGATCACTTACATGCAGATAGATATGTTGTTCTTCCTTTAGAGCTAAATTGGTAGATTCACTTAATAGGCAATAATCGCCAAGCTTTATAAATAGGCAAAGCAGCGCATTTGTAATTTCTTGATGCTCCTAAATATATGCATTCAAATTTTCCCAACTCCCAGAGAATTATAAAGCTCTTGAATCCTGATTGCCTACATGCCTACATTGTGTGATTTCCCCAAAGAGCCACATGTAAATATTTGGAAGAATCAGAAAGAGCTGAATTGGCAATTCTCTACTTTTGATCATCACTTTTGTTAATTGCTGCTGGTAAATTAAAAGAGAAGTTGTAGCAAATCTAGTTATATAAAACAAAATGTAGGAGCATCTCTAGAACCATGGTACCATATACTGGTACAGACATGCTAAAATGCTATTTAATAGACTTCTGATCTGCATTTTTGATTAACTTGAAAACCAAAATAAACGCAGCTCAATATTATGACTTTGCCACCCAAAAATTTGTTGGTATTATGTATTTTCTTGACTAGCACATGTATTGGAAAAATACATACCAAGTGGTTCATTTAGTAACAAAAGTAGAATTTTCACTTAGCGTAATGAATCGGGTGACGTTGTGTACACTACAATCATCCAGTCTTGTGAAACTGAAAATCCATTTTTTTTAAAAATAATTCCTCTTCCAAATGGTTGGGTCTTGAAGTGAATGTAACTTACCTTATTCACTAAGCCAAGTGAACATTCACTTTATTTTCTACTTCCTTTAGTAAATCACCCCTAACACATATGTAAGTATCCAATATACTGCCCAATTCAAAAAGTTTAAAATTACATACAGCTCTCATAAAGTTCCCTAATTTGTAAATAAGTTAACTTAAAGATCATAGAGATAGGGCTATGTTGTCTTTTTATTGGTGTGTGTATGTGTGATTTTTATTTTGTTTTTTTTGCTATACAACCATGGGCAGTGATTTATGTATTTATGTTACACTTTGTAAATTATTAGTGTTTGTTATACCTTGTAATTAACTTAGTAACCAGGTGGTCATATGCCTTGCCTGTGGAGGTTTTCTATTTTGGTTATGGATGCCAGTGGCTGTAATAATCTTGACTTGACTAAGTGATGTTAAACCAATGAATCACCGTGTTTTAGGTTTGTGTGACTCACAGATTTCCAGGAAAAGTTATGATCACACTAGTTGTCATGTTAAGACAGCAAATATACAGTTAGTGCTACTAACTTTGAGATGTTCAGCATTGAAGCTTAAGCAGAGTGATTACCAAACAAGACACTGTAACCACTCAACAATATATTTATCTTTATAGTCAAAAGTTATTATACACATTTCACAGTTCAACTTCTTAATTTGCCCAGAGACAGGAAAGCTTTGTGCGCTAACTATTTTGAAATGGCGTGGCTGCTAAGGAGATTTTTGCAACATAAGTATTCTTTCAGTTCTTTGAAATGGACCCTCCAAACCTCAAAATCACAAGTACATGCCGAACAGCATGCTGAACTATAAATACTATGCATTCATATCACAACTATGCTATAGTTGTGAGTACTTACAATTACATTTGTGTACTTCCTGCTTTCCCTGTGGCGCTGGTGACATAGCCAGTGCCTTCCAGCTTCCCCCAGGTAAAGCTATGTCACCAGTGCCTTCCAGGGACTTCTCATGAGTAAACTGGGAGATCTCATGAGATTTTGCAAAATCTTGTGACATCTCAGCAGAAAAGGCCCTTTGTATAATGTAATACAGAACATGTGCGAGATCTGGTGCAGACATCATCGATAGACTGGCATAGAAAGGTTGGAAGAAGAAGCTGTCAGCCAATGGCATCTATTTGTATAATGGCAGTGTGGTTTTCCTTATGGGGTGGAATGGAGGGATGGGATGTGTTGATGAGGCAACCAACAATGAGTTTATTTATTTATTTTGCTATATTTTTTATTGATAATGGCAGATGACATAAGCAGATGGGAGAGGTCTGCTTCAGGTTTTATTGGCACAAGTTTTCCCCCAAAGCCCTTCTCTAGGTGCTGCTATTTTGACTAGTAGACCCCATCCCAGTGCCCACCTTTTTCCTTGTTCTCTTGGCTGCCCCATCAATGACATCCATACCAGATCTGTGTAGGAAAAAAGAATTAATGAACTTCTGTGCAAGGCACTGGTGATGTAGCCTTCCAAGGGGGCAGCAGTGAGGCACTGGCTATGTCACCAGAAATATGGAAATTGAAAAATTCAAAACGTAAGCTTAAAGAGAAAAAAGTTATTTTTGCATATGAGCATAAAGTGTTTATTCTTCAGGATGCAGAGGTGCATGCATCTATGCTTTTTATGTTTTAACTTCAGTTCCATTTGGTATATAGTAAAGGACAAATCCAGCGGCGGCACTGAGTCCTGCCCAAGATCCGCCCCCTCTGACATGTTTCACCCAATCCTGGGCTTAGTCATAGAGATTATTCAGTTTAATTTGGTTGTCATTATACTGCAGTGTTGAAATTACATATTCTTGGAAAGCACCCTTTTTCAGAAATTGTTGACATTTCCTTGTATAAATGGGAGAACTTCATTGTAGTTTCGCTCTGTGGAAGCTTGTTGTAAATGTTTAAAGCAACCCCCAGTGTATTTTGGAAGGCAACAAAGAAAGGTGAAGGTCTGTGGAAGAGTGAGTCTTCTTAGTTGTCTGATGTCCCTCTGAACTAACAGTGACCTGTACCAGGAAAGTTTTGAGGGTTTTAGAATTCATTAGAATGCTCAGCATGAAGTCTGTGCTGAGCCATCAATATATTCCACATTTACATGCTTTATCCCCCTTTTGCTCTGCATGACTGGGAAGAACATTTCCTCTGGTTTTATCCGAAGGAAGTATAAATGAGCTTTTCAGCTATGTGCATATTTTTAGCCATCACACAAACCACACTACAAATATAATGGGGGCAATTCAATAAAGGCTTTGCGACACAATTACGGTGTTATGGATTTATCTAGAATTATTGTGCCAATTCAAAAAGGAATAGTTCTATAGTTAGTACCAAACGAATGAGTCAAATTCATAAAGTTCTAATTTTTCGAATATGTCGCTATGGCTACAATAAATTCATTAACAAATACCTCCATTTTGGAGCTAAGAAAACTGGAGGCAATTAAGACCAATGTCTTTTTGTAGCAGGAAAGGGTTAGAACCTGTATCAAGCTTTTATTGCTGTCTGTGTCCCTGCTGTGGAGATTTGTCTTCTCTACTTGTCCTGATGACCACTGTCACCGAGAATGAAAATGGGGAAAGATCCTATATTTTTAGTTGCCACCATAGCAGGAATAGAGGGTAAATAGCAATGGGAACACTTAATCTGGTGACAGCTGTCTAAAGGGGCTTTCCCTCACTTTGAAGGTATTTCCTTTCACTTACTGATGTATACATAGGACAGAAAGTGAAGAGAAATCTCTTAAATGGGGTAAAGATAAACAAAAATATATCAAAACAATCTGTCAAATGGATTTAACCTTTCCTTACTCTATTCAAAATGAAAAAAGTTTTGGATTTGGTTATACTTTAAGTTGCTGATTGCCTGCACACTATAAAGCACTGTAAAATTATTGCCATCAAGTAAGGTAATGCTAATGCCTTGTATAAATAATTACTCTTAGACTAGCCATTTCCTATAATATTGCTGTCTACTAGAGACATTTTTTTGATATAGAAAGATGGGGCTCTCGGTGATTATAAATTTTAAAGCATACAAGGCAAGACTGTTCACTTATGCTAATAAATAAAAAGTTGCTAAAACTCAGCTCACCAGGGAATGGAATAATAATATAAGCTCTTTACTACATTTTAATAGTGTAGAAAACATTCATTAATTTCAGTCATTTCTCAGGTTGTCAGGCACGCTTAGCATGGAGTAGGTTGTTATATCAGATCAATAGTCAGGCAGATCCGCTCCAGATGTGAAGGAAGTGCTAATACCGTTATTAAACATTAGTATGTAATTAAAAGTGGTTGGAGCACTTCAAGAACTAATTAGGTGTCTTTTGCAGAGTGGGGATAAGGCACTAATGACTAGGCGCCACTAGAGATCTGGTAGACCCGGGGCTCTTTTCGTATGAACTGGGTTATTCTGGTGACTTCAGACTAAAACAAGCACTTATACCACCAAACACATAAAGTATGTGACATTTTATCTTGATATAATTACATATAAATGTAATTTCTTGATAACGCCATTTAATATTGTATTGTAACTGTAAATCAGTTGCTTATATATTAACATTTTCAAAATGCGTGTTGTGTGGGATAAGCATTTCTATTTACCCTTTTCAAGGATCTAATCTCCATGCCTAAGGCAATCAGGCCTTCCTCTCTTAAAACATGTATAGCCAACATAGTATTTTCCATGGCAACGTAACGCCTATTCACTTCTTGGACATATATGTCACACTGGCGGCTGTAAAGGCAACCAGAAAAATGGATTATTGTGACCTCATTTGGAGGATTTACGAAGGGTGTTCTGGTTAAAGAAAAACCAGTAAGTAAATGCAGCAATTCATGTATATCGGTCTATACATTTCAATTATGTTACAGATTTATTCAAGCACACTGGTTTTCTTTTCTCTTTTTTATCTTGTTGTATAGTGGACTTTGAAGGTCAAGGTAACATAATACAATACTTTGGTGTCAGCCGTAAATAAAAGAAATAAACCAGTAGTTGTGCCTATGAAAGTAATGGTTTTATTTTTAATATTTTTATGGTGTTATAAGAAAACACAATGAGACTTTATGATAATGGAAATGGAAATAAGTTCAAAAATAATATTTAGAAATACATGCCAATTTACCTATTTTGGATAAAATACTGCATCTTATTTAACCTGAACTTCATGTAGATGCATTAAAAAAAATCACCACTTACTCCAGACTCCAATTATATATTCATTAACAAATCTCTGCATATATTTAACTTTTTTTATCACATTTTAGTAATTAATCCCTTGTACACCAGAATTAAGGATAATGTAACTTGTACTGAGAGGAATATGTTGGTTGTCATTGTTGACCTCTCTTTTAGGGACTGCTAAGTGCTGATCCTAAAACGTAACCACGTATCCACGACTGTGGAAGTATTAAAGTTTGGCAGTCAGACCTCAAATATTTTAAGAAGTAGGTCAGCAATGGCAGTCTATATATTTCTTTCACTACAGGTTTGCTTGAAGTGTCAGAATACTAGCAGTATGAGCCAAGCATTGAACACTATAGAGTGGAGTGAGATGGCTTTGTCAATCTTCTCCACACCTAGACAGGGGAAGTTTAGGCAGAGGAGGAGAAGGGCACATGGAGGCCTACAAACATTTGGTAGCGTCTACCGGGCAGGATGGAGGTAGTTTTTTTTACGAAGCTCAAGGGTGGCAGGTATTGAATAGGGGCATCACTTAACTTAACATGCAATGTTACTTCAGTTGAGTATGCAGCCGTTTCGTAGCAATAATATGTGGCAGAGCTTCATGCATTGCGAGTCTGTAAACTGAAAATAATACAAATAAAATTAGTTTATTTATTGGTATTATAAATAATTTATTATGCTGTCTGTATCACTTTGCATTTCAGATATGCTCATTGTAGTATTTTATCTTTCTCTTTTAGTGGCATGCTTTATCTCGTGAAGAACAGGCCAAATATTATGAGTTAGCTCGCAAAGAAAGGCAGCTACACATGCAGCTCTATCCAGGCTGGTCTGCAAGAGACAACTATGTAAGTAATCTATCCCTATCTCACATACATACAGGGCCAATTTAGACAATTAACCTACCTGCATGTCTTTGGACTGTGGGAGGAAACCCTTGCAAGCACACAGAGAAGTCTTTACCAGGATTTGAACCAGGGATCCCATGTGCTGCACGGCGGAAGTGCTAAACACTACGCCACTGTGCTGCCCAAGTATAGCCCACCATTCCCTCACAATAAATGCCTGAGGCTCCAGCTAGTCATGGCAATAGCTTAGTAAATATGCATTTCAAAATTATCATTAATCTATCCAAAGAGTGTGTGAATTCCATTGCTTTCTGGAAACAAACCCAGCCCCTGACTAGGAATAAAAATCAGCCTGGGCAGTCAAGTCACAGCAGCACATGCTTGTACATATAACTAAAAGTTTGAGCCACCTTAAGCTCTTGTACAGGGCTCATGATGGAATAGATGGAATAGAATATCCAGTAGTATGTTCTGCTCTGGAGCTAAACATCTGGATCTGTTACTTACCTATTCATATCTATGGTCTAATTATTTAAAGTGGGGCTATTCATGTAAGTGTAATGGTTTTTAGTCAGCCCTATTTACATTTTTTAATATTACATGTTTTCAAACTGATGCTATAATATAATAATATAAGAAAATGGCAGTACCTTCTCCCTTTAAGACTATCTCTCCCTAATTGATTATCTGTATGGAGATGTACGGAGCAGATACAGATGGCAGAGAAGTCAGAGGACTAAATGTGTGTAATCTGAACTTAAACTATTCAACTCTATAAACAATCTTGTTTCCACACAAGACAGTTAAAGCAAACCTGTCATGAAGTACATGTGGGGTGGCCATTCCTTACCTTCTTCTGAAAATTCTGGTAGTGGGTGCTATGCTGAACCACCAGCTTCTATACCTCCTACATTACTGGCCTGGACAATGCAGATCAGCCATTAAAAAAAAGTCCCTTTCTGCATACTTGTTCTAGACTAGTGACTTAAATAACTGAAGCAAACGGGTCAGCATGACAGCCTGATCATTCGAATTTTCATACAGAGAGGTCAGCAGCGGCAGCCTTCATGTTTCACTTTTGAAAGTATATCTGTTAAGGTGTGTGTAGCAAACATGTGAAAGGTAGGCTAGAGCTCCATCTGCTGGCTGGAAATCATAAATAGGAAATAGTCATATGAAATCTTTCATCTATCTGACTATAACATATTTTTCAATTGAATACATTTAGTTAAAATATATTGATTTGAGCTTTATAAACAAAAATGTTTGGGAGAATAAATACTAATAGAAGGGTATGAAGTGAAGTAATAGAAGGGTGAAATACTTGTCTTTCGTGAACAACAGCTGCCCTGGACTCCCTCCTGTAATGGTCACATGGCCCAAAACCCAGGCACATGGCTGCTCGATCTCTATGTTTTATCCTGATAAAGTCATTATTTCATAATTATTATTTCATAATTTCTATTACTTTCTACTCATTAATTGCATCAATGCTGATATCAGTTACCACAGTTTTACTTTGAGAGATGAGCCGCCCATATCTGAGAAGGATTGGGTGGCCTATTTTGTGCATGTGCTTTAACAATATCCCATTTGGGGTCTTTTAACCTCAGAGCATGAGCTGATTAACGACTGACAGCTTTTACAAGGTCTTTATACTTTGCTAGTAGGCGATACATTTGGCACTGTGAATTTTTCATAGATAATAGTAAAGCTAATCTCAAGTCATATTGTGATCTGATATGATCCCGTTGCACTAGTTCTCTTTATCAAGTCACAAATGAATATTAACAGCTTGACTATTTACAAACCTGTCAATCATAGTTATTCCAGCTAAAATGGAGCAGTCTTCCATAGAAAAAAAATTGACTGACAACCCTAGTTTCAGGGATCTACCACCAGCTGTGCTGCTTCATTTATACATTTTATTAGGAAATAGTCATGGATGGTTTTCATTCATATTCTTGGTAAGACTTTGTAGAATGCTAGAAACTACATTTGTGCATTTTTCAGTTAAATGAATGTAGGGCTTGTTAAATATAAAATCATTTCTGTATTGCATAATGCATGGTCCAGTTTATTTACTTGTATGTGTGGTATAGTTAATCTGTAAACTATACATTTAGCTTTTTATTACATAAGTATTATAAAACAGGCTGGCCATGCCATTAGATCATTAATTTATTAAAAGATCAGCCTGTCATGAGTGAAGTCATCACATCGGTAGGGTTGGATTCCTGCTATTTTTAGTTCACATGTTGATACATTTTTACATGCGTTATTAACAATAACAATTTTTTGTGTACGCTTTAACCCCCATTATTGGTACGTGCCCTTTGTATGCCCATGATCGTTCCTTGTGAAAAGCTGTCTATAGTGTTCACTGTAGTGTAAAATAATCATTAAAACTTTATGGTCAATAGAAAAAAAAGGTGAGAAAAAAGATGGGCGACAATAACGAAGCAAAGGCGAGGGCGGAAGGAGTGAATAATATCATGGTTTTGAGTTCCTGTAGACCAGGGTCTGTAGCAGCTGTTGAACTGGGCTAGCCTCCAAATAATTTATTACTCTGCCAATAAGACAGAAGCCACCAAACTAGTGCTAACCTATCTTGTGATGTTTGTTATTTAGCAACAAGTTGCAGTGTAAACATTTCTATGTATATTTTAGCATCATGCAGCCTCTATCCCAAGAAAGTTTGAAGCCCATGTGGATGCGGAGTCTTTGTTTAGTCAAGTAGGTTTATCTTTTCTCCTGGGATATACCTTGGCTGACAGAAGTAACATCATTGGCAATGCTGACCCTTGTTGGCTGTCTTCCATCACATCTCTGTGATCCCCTTCAGTACAACTGCAGCTTTTCAGTACGGCTGGGATTAATGCTGGCTGTAAACCAAGCAGCAGAATGTGCAGTTCTGTACACATCTCATCTCAATAAGTGGACATTTGTACCGATGACGTTCCAGCTGGTTAAACATGGACAACAGAACATGTTCGTGCCGTGGCTGCTGACATTAAATGTTGTTTTTTTGTTAATGATCTTTTTAGATTAAGTATCCAGGTGGAAAAAAGATAGATCATTTTATTCTGGAGCAATTTGCTGTCATCTGAAAAAATATTTATCTAGAAATACTTACTGAGCCTGTGTTGTCCCACAATAATTGCCCAGACTAAACCCGCTTATTTACCCTGGAAACATTTAAAGCTTTGTTTCCATGTGAAATTGGATTATTAAGGCACAGATAAGTGCCTTTTGGGATAAAATTTGTACCATTTGTAAGCAGTCTTGTTTACAGGAATATGTGTTTTCCAAATAATGCTGGTTCTTACTCCACTGGGTGACACGGCAGCTACACAGAGTACAGCCTGATATGTCAAGATATGTGCAGGTGACTAATTGGGGTTAGCTCAAAATAAAGAAGTCACTGGTAACCATTTTTGGCATTTATATGAATAAATCTTCCATGATCTGCCTTGTATTATGTTCATGTGGATAATAAAGGTGGTGCTTAATGTGCATGTTTTAAACTCTTGCCACCAAGCACTCCTTAAATGTTGGGTTAGAAGAAGTCTACTATGCCAGGAAGGCATTAGTCATGCCATGCTTAATGTTGCTCTGACCAGAGCATCACTTGCAAGCATCACCTGTCACTTAAAAGCAGCCTAAATAAAATAGAAGAGCATCTAGTGCAAGCATAGCCTTCATATATGTTTAGCAGAGAGCTTTTTGTGCCCCATTTTCCATTTGTTTTGAGTCCACTTTCTGGTATAATAAATAAACCAGCAGCTACGGCAGGTAGTACTTAGCTCCATTAAACGTGTATTGTGCCTCAGTGACAAATGGCACCTCCATTTTTTAGTTTTGAATGGAGTGTAGAAGTGTTAAAAGAAAATTAAAGCCAAACATTTTTGGATTTAGTCCTCTTTTGGGTCAAGGGAGTATATTTTCTAATGTACTGCTGTGCTTGAAAGTTAGCATCTAGCGGGCTTCTGCCCACTATTTGCTGACAGTTCAGAGCTGCGCTGCAGCCAGGAGAGATCCCAACAATATTGTCAGGATCCACCCCGCTGCCTGATTGACAGCTGGCTCTGCCTCTCTGGAGCCAGAGCCAGCCGTGCCCACCCCCCTCCTGTCTGTCCCTCCACTGCTCTGGAGAAACAGGAGAGGGGAATCCCTGTGGGGAGTGGTGACTAACAGTCACCACTCTCTGCGGGGAGAAGAACAGGAGCTAATTGATCAGCGGTTCGTGATCGATTAGCTCTCGATCTATACAGCTGGCATGTAACACCTGCACTAAGTATTGGGAAGAGCACATTTTACTCTCCCAATACTTCTCCTTTAACTCCACTGACAAGTTTTAAATGCTATGTGCCCACTGTGGCGTCACCCTTAATTTGTCCTGGTGACCATTGTCACTGGAACAGAAAACAATGGTAAGTCCAATATTTAACCCCCTCATTTGCAAGATATTTCCATTCACTTCCTGATCTGTCTCCAGGAAAGGCGGTGAAGAGAAATCTCCCCAAAAGGACACAGATAGCAAAATAAATTGCTTGACATGAGTTTTAACCATCACAATAGTAAAAAAAATAAAAAGTTTCCGCTTTAGATATACTTTAATTATGAATGCTCTGCAGTGTCCAGCATGAATTTTACAGAATTTTTAAGTCACGCAAGTAGAGCAACGTCTATATACCCAACGTTGAACAAAACCTAGGGAAAATTATACCTGGATGCACAGAAAGCTTTTCCATGCAAACACACAATCAGATCCCAGGACCTATGACCCCATGTTGTAGATCTGGTCTTGTGTTTTGCTAACCAGTATAAATGGTATGTACATTTATATGCTAGGTACATGTATGCTGAGACATCTGTGTTTGGTATTACAGGGTAAAAAAAAGAAAAGGAAGAGAGAAAAGCTCCAGGAATCCACATCAGGTTGGTTGACATGCTTTTCTATTTTGTGGCTGTAACTGTAAATTCTGTAGATCTTTCTCTGCTATCTTTTCTCTGCTCTCCCTTTCTACATACTATAGTAAGTACAGCTGTGGTTATGCCATATGTACGTTTACATTGAACATCATCAAACAATCTTCTTCCTTGATCTATGTGAGGCAAAGTTGTTATACCAGAATAATGCCAGATGTATAGTAAGTGAGGTAGTTGTGGTTTGTCACTTCTACAGGTGTGCAGAGTGAATGCAACTAGTAACGTCAGCAACAGGATTTCCACCGATACATGAGGTTATTGTACTCACAGCTCCTCACCTGTGCAGCAAAATACCACAATAGTGTGGGCAGTGTGCTTATTGATTTTAATATATCACTAAGTAACAGTAAATAGACATGTGTCACTAAATGCATCTCTGTGGACGTATTTGATTACGACGTGCAAAGACCAGTACTGTGCAGTAACCTCTAGTAACCAAACAGAAATGCAGAATATTTGCCCCTTGCAGTGTTTAACTGCGCACTATTACTGTTTGCATCTTGGTTTGAATTTTTTCCTTTTCATTAGTCTAGTATAGCATGGAGGGATGAAAGGGAAACTCTGATTGGTTGATAGGGAGGGCTAGGACTATAGTAGGATCTGTGTTAATTAATAATCCCAATTCCGCACCAACATGTAGCATTGAGAAGCTTCTCTGGATTCCAAGATGTCCACAGAAAGCCCCTTTTACTTGGAAACGAGAATGCTATAGCCAGGGGGGTTGTATATATTGAGGAATGTTGGGTAAAGTGTGGTAAAATGATAGTTCAAAACAAGCAGATCTTGTTTACTGTGATTGATTCTATTACCTAGTGTTACCCTTTTGACTAGCTTTGTGTGAAGTGTGTTTAGTGCCCTCCAGGCAGGCATCAAAACACCCAAATCCCAGGTTATACATAATTAAAAAGCCACATTTTACTGAACATTCACACTGAGCATGTATTACTTTGTCAGATACTGGTGTGCAATAAAACTCTCTTTAACACCAAGCTTGACTTCAACACTCCCCCTACGCAACACTAAAATCCAGCTGACCAGTTTCGTCACCTGATATTTAAGATAACATTCAGTAAACATAGTGCAAGGAGTAATAATATGTAAAACATAGCAAACAGCACATTTTAAATTTCCTGTACACATTCAACAGTGCTAAACTGAAAGTTTAATCCCGCCCCGATTTTCACAACTGCACCCACATCCATAATTTCTATCTATGGGATTCATTTACTAAAGGCAAATAGACTGTTCAATTTGAAAGGGAATTTGCACTTTGTGGAGTAAGTTTCCCATAGCTTGGTGAATGTGTTGAAATTTCTTTTTGCAAAAAATATCCACTCATGTGCAAGGCAAATAAAAAACAGTATTTTTTGCTTGCACATAATTGGATTATAGAAGTCAGCAGAGCTTCACCGTATTCACCGAGCTAAGGGAAACTTCCACTGCAAAGTGCAAATTCCCTTGCAAAGTGAACAAACTATTTGCCTTTAGTATATGAACCCCTATGTGCCCTGTTCACACTATAGATGTGCAGTGGTCTGAATAAAAGCCTAGCTCAACATACATGGTAAGAACAAGACTTTAATGTTAGGACACTTGGCAGAATCACTACAAACATTGCTTTGGATATATGAGACCCCTTTAGTTTTGTTTGTTCAAGGAACATAAGATTGGCAGGTTAAGTTATCAAAGAATTCTAAAGATATTTCCAAACAATAATTATCAATCTGATGCATTTACAAGTTAAAACTGAACTCCAGTTAAAGCATTAACCCCTGTGGCCTCCCCCAACAAATCACTATATTGCTGTTAAAAAATCCTAAGCTAAAAGCCTTTTTTCTTTACCACCTAATCCGTGGTCACGCATCATGGATGTGCCAGGTCCTATGTCTTCTATCTTCTTCACTGCAGAGGAGGAGTATCCTTCTTTAGATAGTGATGTGGACGCTTCCCAATGGCTGTCCAGCTTTGGGGTCTTCTCAGGCTCCAAAAGACTGCACAGTGTGATAACATCACGAAGAGGCGACTGGTCAGAAGGGGCACAGACTGCACCGCTGGATAACTGGTCTTCAGCCCTGGAAGTAACACAGGTGAGGAACATGGTTGGCGGGTTGGCGGAGTTAGGGGAATAAAAAAAGAGGTCCAGAAAGTAATTTTTTTAAACATAGTTAATGGGTAGAAGGGGGCAGGTGATGGTATCGGAGGGTGGAGGGACCTTTGCCCAGAGATTAAAGTACAAACTAGGGATGCACCGATACCAAGTACTGTACTTGGTACAAGTACAAGTACATGTATTGATACTTTTCGAGCTCCAAGACTAGACTAGAGAAAAATTCAAAAGTTAGGAGGCAGCTGTCATTTGTAAGGAGCATACGGAGCTCCTGGGATTTGTACATCTGTTTTAATGTATGATTTAGTTTTTATAAATATAAATAAAGGGATGCACCGATACCAGTTTTGCAAGTACAAGTACTGGTACCTGCCAAAGTACAAGTACTGATACATTTTTGTTTGAGCAACAGAGCCAGGTCCCAGCTGCAACCGCTGCAACCCTGGTAGTTCTCATGAAAATGCCAAGTATCGGCATGGGTACTCGAAAAGTATCGGTGCATCCCTAGTACACACTGTAGTAACCACATGCAACCATTCCAAATTAACTTTTTAGTGATCTTACTCTGGTGATCTGTAATCTGATTGGCTTGCTACACTTTGCACTTCCCATGAAATACGTTAGCAGTAGCAATAATTGCAAGATATTTTGTGCTCCACCAGCGTTATCAAGTAATAAAATGCCAAGGGTGCCATAACTGGATTACTATTGCAATGTGGACATTCCGAGTTAAATTTGGCTTTCTATTACTATCTGGTTATGAGCAGCACTGCAGCTATGTTCCAGTTATGGAAAATAACAGATATTATAGATCAGGGTTACAATTAACCTCACAAACATTTTGGCTACTAGTATACCACATATGAGTAAAGCAGAGCAGAGAGTTAGTGACATTTAGAGTTTTGTCCTCCTTTGACCTCCAATGTCCTTAATCTTTAACTTGGCCTTGCCATTTGGTTTGCATGTCATATTTACTGGCTGTTAATTTCCCCAGACAGCTGTCAAAAGATCCCAAACATTATGTAATATTATCAGTTAGGTTGAAAGTCACATTTGTTCCTGTGGAATGGAAAGCATTGGTCTTGAGAAGAAGAAAAAAAAAAAAACCTCACAAGTGTAGCTGTGTTTATAGCCAAAATGCACAACCTATTTAGTGTATGTGAAGGTGGGTGCACTTGATATCAACAGTGCAGGCCTTTCATATTTCACAAGCCTTCAGAGGGCTGTTCAGCACATTTGTGAACTAGACTTCAATTCCTTTCCTACATCCGGCAGCTACAAACAGTTATTTGTGGTTTTGCACTGAAAAAAAAAAAAAAGACTGTTGTTTTAACAGCCATAAACCTACACATTGAAACTTGAAGGCAGCCTTCATATATTTAACATTTAAATAATGTTTGCCATGTAGATAGCAACCTTATTTTAATCAGCAGCCATTTTAGATAGCATATACGCTCAAGTTGAAGAACCAGTACATTCAAACATGACATTTCTGTTATAAGTGGAGTATGTTGGATTAAGTTGGTCACCAGTTTTCTTATATATTTTGGGGGTTCCAATGCAGGTTTTTAGACTATATTTCTTGCTTCTGTTCCCACAAACCTTTGAGTTTTATCTCACTGTGGCCTTCTCCATAATATAAAATAAATGAATGCCCCAACAGGAAGAATTGAATCTCTTTGTAATTGCCATAGCAGTTATGCAGACCAAGGAACACAAACATATGGATCTCACCTTTGAAGTCCTCAACAAATATAAGAAACCTTCGGAAGGCTGAACTGTAGAGAATCTATCAGAAACTTAAATATCTTAAGTTTTGGCCAGGCTGACACTTTAAGTTATCCTGTATTTAAGATTTTGCAGACCTTTAAAAATTCTAGCAGCTATTAAAGCCACTCATTGATTTAGCATTTAACCAACAGGTTCTACGGGGGATGATCACATTGCCAAGAACGCCAAAAACACAGGAGATTCTATTATAAAGATATGTTGGGTAGCTTCTGTGGTTTTGAATTTAAGCCTATCTCTTCCCAGCCCTTGAGTCTCACTGCTGGTCAGCGATGCTGTCCATTGTTATGGACTGGTAGCAAGGAGATTGGTCCATAGGAGGCAGAGATGGGAAGGAGCAGACCTTGGATCTCGAGCTGGTTATGATTTCCATAATAAAGCTCCCATGTTTCTTTGACTTCCAGGTGTTCTAGGTGGTTTGTGGTCATTCAAGTAGGCATAGCTACGTTAAGGTTTACAAGGATTTAATAAACACAGGTTTACTTTAGGAACTGGTAGATCACGTTGGCATAAAGTAGGGTTCAGTCCAAAAAATATTTCTCAACAGATCCATGCACTTTTAGAAAACATAACCAGACGTGAAGAACAGCAAAGGGTAGCTAAACTATTAAAATATATAATAGATACCATAAGTATAAAACTCTAAAGGCTGGTATAACAACCATTAATAGTGACAAAGAAAATGAATGTAAATCACCTTAAGAGTATGCATTTTGTAATATTTCAACAATTTTGTTAAAAGACACACATTTTCTGCAGGTGCAGGCCCACCAAGAATGACAGCTGCCTACATCTGAAGCATGGTAAGAACATCTCTTTAGCTTTTATGCTTGATAGGTGGGCTCTTAAATAAGCCCTTTTGCTTTTTAAAATGCCCATCTACAGAAACCAACTCTTCACTTGCTAAAGAGACCCAGATAGCTTCATGAGACATAAAGTGCTTTATTAGTTTAGTAGAAATATCAGAAAAAATCTCTACAATGGTTTTTATACCGGCTTTGTAGAAAAATAAGAATATATATTCCGTTTTTGTAATACTGCAGCTGAAGTATAT